CAACTGACCTACAAATTGTACGAATAAACAGATCAACTAGATGGCGCTTATTGCATAGATTTGTATGGGTAGTGCCGGTTGTTCTTTTATTTTGTTCAGGATAACTGCTTATTTGTGACATTTTTTTTTCTAATTCCAGGTTATTGGTTCGTCAGTAAGTTTATTAGTGATATCTTCTCATCTGACCGGACTTACTTTGCTGTGTGTGCCATCGGTTGTTGTAGGGGGCGCATTTATTGGGTCATTGCTGAGAAAGCTCTCTAGAGAGGCTCAGGCTCAGGTAAAAACTATACTTAATTGCAAATATTTATACAAAGATCGAACATGAAGAAAAATTCTTTCGATCTGACAGGATTCGAATCTGTAATGCTAATCTAGGGCAACTGCTCTACCAACTGAGCTAAATCTCGAGTCAGAAGAGTTTACGAATTTCTCTAACCGTTTGTTACATAAATCTTTGTTTTTTGGCTTGAACGGCTTTTTATGTCGTAGCGCCATCTGCAATAAATCTATGAAAGTTTTTCTCCACTCAACTAGGTACCTTTACAGCTACCAGAGCTTAACATCGATGTCGCTTTTTGAATTATAATATCGATATTATTGATTACCGTGATGTTTTACTGACATGATATTATTATTTTGTAAAAAAACACTGATTTTTTGTGCTAGTTAAGATATCGCAAAACGAATTTCAGATTTTAGCATGCTTATGCGAGTTGATTGAATCGGGAGAAAATTTTGAAAAAGTTAAATGACTCAACTAAATATCGTATATGGTATAAAAATTTATAGTTAGACATGAAAACAAAAAGTAATGTTATAACAAAATCGCCTAAACTTATTTCACACTTTAAAAATGTAAGTCGAACTGAGTGGCCCAGCCGTTATTGCTGGGGACGGTAGATGAGGGATCCCATGTTCGATTTCAGTAACGAATGATTTAAAATAGATTCCTGGTCTGGGAGTTTAATTTTGTTACTCTGGCATTCATGCATAATACAGGGAATTTTCTTGTTTATTATTATTATTATTATTTTGGAATTAAACAACAACCATAACACGATGAAAATCTATTCGTGCAAAGCTTTTACATACACTAGTTTGTAATATTTGCAGGTAGAAAAATCAACTTTAGTAGCCGAAGAAGCGATATCAAATATGAGGACCGTGCGAGCGTTCGCAGGGGAAGAAAATGAAGCAGAAATGTTTGCGCAGGAGTGTGAGATAGCGGCTGATCTTAGCATGGAGTTGGGGCTAGGCATTGGGCTGTTTCAAGCTGGCACCAATTTGTTTCTTAATGGGTAAGAGAGACTCTACTGAAACTATAATAAACAGTCTTTACTATGTTGTATGTTAAAGTTGCCTGCTTATCGTTATTCTACAGGATATATCACGGAGAGTGTGCGATAGAATTATATAATTTGATTCCGCCTTCCCCTTTCCATCATCGGGGGACTAGACGTGGTCTGGGATTCCACCCCTATGTTGTAGTTATTCCCAGGATTCTCATGAAGCGTTTCGCTTCCACATTTATATGGCGAGCGGCTAGATAGAGAGTGGAATTCCTTACCTGCGGACTAATTCCCCGAACGCTATAACTTGGACCTTTTCAAGGCGAAAGTGAATAGGCATTATTTAGGTGTGCATGCTACATCGTCAACCTCATCATCGCTTTCCATCAGGTCAGATGGAGGTCAAATGCGTACTTATTTTTTGATAAAAAAAACGCCTCGGCCACATCAATGATAAAAAAAACATGCCAATAGCTTTAGTAATTTTCTTTACTAAACAACTGCCTCCGTGGCCGAACGGACTACCACGCAGAGGTCCACGCAGATTTCCGGGCTTGGAGAAATATTTGTTTGGCCTATATTTATTTCTCTCGTGAGTTTGAGTGTAATGTGTGGTTGTCTATGTGTGTCGAAATGGCACCCGCGACACAGGGCTATGTTGATTGTGTGCGTTATTATTATTATTAAAATATTATGGATGAATGTATGAATGTATGTACATTTGAAAGAAATGATTATTATTATATATAGGTTTACACATGAGAGTAACTTAGAAAAATCATCAAAGTATCTTTATTTCATAGGTAAGCAAATTACACTTAAAATTGTCAATTTGATTAAACTCTACTGCTCATTCGTAAGGCAGATTCCCCTGAGAAGAATAACAAAGAAACGCTAGGGGTTGCTCTTTGTAAATATACGTATTTGAATACATTTATCATTTAATTTTGTCATCCAAGTACGCAGAAGGTGTATAATAACCTTTAGAATAAAGTTTTTGTTTCACTACAGTTTTAAACCTCGTGTAAGGCAAATTTTGTATATCAACCGGAATCTTGTTATAGAAGCGTATAATTGCTTCGTAAATGAATTTGTCACTTTGTGAAGACGACTATCAAGAACAGCTAGTTTATTTTTATTCCTCGTATTAATGTTATGTCTGTTACTATTTTTTATCAAAAAATAGTAACTAAAACTAAAAAAACTAAAAAATAGTACTATTCTTCTTGACTAAATTACATTTTCGAAAATGTACGTCGACCGCTCAAAAACAACCGTTCTCCCTATATAATAATATATATTATAGGTAATTCATTACCACCAATAATTTGACTTTCATGATGTGTTTTTTCAGAATGGTTCTAGCCACGATGTTCCTTGGCGGCCATTTTATGTCAACTGGTCAGATGTCGGCTGGTGATGTCATGGCATTCCTTGTGAACGCTCAGACTGTTCAGAGGTCTGTGGCGCAGTTGTCTTTGCTGTTTGGATCACTTGTTAAAGGAGTCAGCGCTGGTGGTCGTGTTTTTGAGGTATGTTTGCAAATTAGTACTCTCAAACGTTCGTCCATGTTCCCAACCTAATCAAGTCGCTAATGTCCCCCAAAAAAATCAAACTATGGTAAATACTATACTTGGTGCTATTTAGCATATAATATTGTGATAGAGTCGATTTGGTATAATACTGGCTCGTTTCTGCATACGACTCGCGCAAGTTTTTGTAGTCTGTCGCTTTGATCCAACCCTGTCTCGCGCTTTTCAAATGTCTTGTAATGAAGATACAAAACTAACATTAGAACAAGCATAGTCGCAGCATTTAACTTTCTTAGGCCCCGCATACTTCAAAATGTACATAAAATGTGAAATGATGTGGATCTAAACAATATTATTCCTATGATACAGAACGCCCAGCGCTAATTATTATATTATATATATATGAACATAGAGTATCTAGAACAATGAGGACACACTTGATTGGGCCTGAAGCGAGTAATTAATTTTAATTAATAATTTAATCTAATTTAATTTATTTAATTATTTTTTAAATTAAATTATATTTAGTACATTTTAATGTACACTGCGCATTTAGCGCTCTTCCCGTTGTCGTTTGCTGGGTCTTAAGAGCTCTCATGCCAAAATAGTTTTGACGTTGGCTCCGCCCAAATTTGTGAAACAAATATATGCCTAAAGTTCGCGTGACATGCGACAGGAGATGTTGAATTTTGCGCATTAAAAGTACCAAATTCGTTTTAGCGGAATAACTCTAAAACTAAAGGGATTAAAAAAAATCCGTAGTGGCAGTTGTCGATCATGCATAAATATAATTAATTATTTAATTTTTGTCCTAATAACCTGTAGCATTTCGAGGATGAATCGAAAAAATGTGAAAATTAGAGGTCATTTCGTGATTTTTATCTATCGAGGAAACTGTATTGTTTTATGTTTCTGATTCATGTCTATGCTTGAATATATCGTGTAGTTACTCATACAATATTTTATTTTTAACTTTAAAGTGGATATACCCCTCTAAAATCAAATCGAAGATTAGGAATTTTTCCTCTGCTCCCTCTTAAGAGTCGATACTGCCTCAAATGGCTTTGGTTGATTCCGCATAACAGTGAAAGTGTTGGATCGATCACTTTGGAAAAAATATATAGTAAAATTGAAGATATACACTGATTACTATATGGAGTGAAAACACGATTCCTAAAAATATTCACGATAGAAAAAAAACACAAACTTACCTCGAAATTTTACAAGAAAACCGGTATATTCAATAGGTACTTTACATATGCTAATGATTTTTTCACATCAACTGAACTAAATAGAACACGTATAGTATACGATATACGTTAGCTTTTTACAATTGCTTTTATTAAAAAAAAATCTGAAATAAAGCCAGTGCCCATGCCGCTCGCCACAAGCAAAATAAAACGTATTCGTACGGGAAAAATTTGAATTTGAGCAGTACCGACTCTTAAAGGTTAAAGAGGAAAAAGTTGAAATAAATTATTTAAATGTATTCCTGTTTTTTAACCGACTTCAAAAAAAGGAGGAGGTTCTCAACTTTTTTTTAAATTTTTTTTTATTTGTATGTATGTTACACGATAACTCCGCCGTTAGTGAACCAATTTTGATGATTCTTTTTTGTTGGAAAGAAGGTACCTCAGATGTGGTCCCATTTAAATTTCAAGAAAATATTCCACCTCTAAGGGTGGCAAACTAGGGGATGAATGACTTTTGAGGTCGGTTTTTTTAACCGGAGGTTAGGTTATTAGTTTTATATTTGTTGAAATGAAATAAAAATGTATTTAACGAGTTCTTAGGTTTTCGCGATTGTTATACATAGGAATGAAACTATTTTTCCGGATTTAAATAGCGTATATTTGTTTTTTCAAACAAACCGACGTTATAGGGTGTATATAGGGTGGTTTGCATCAATATTAGACATAACTGGTTGAAGACTGTACCACCTCAGTCAACCGTGACCATGGGACCTGTAAAGGGCCCGAAACGTCGGTTTGTTTGAAAAAACAAATATACGCGATTTAAATCCGGAAAAATAGTTTCATTCCTATAAAAATGTATTGTCAAAAAAATTGTGTAATTTTGTGAGTACATCTTTTGTTTTTAGTACATAAACAAGCAGCCGAAGATGGACACTTCAGGGACAAAAACAATAAAGTATCATGAGCTTTTTGGCGACATTGAGTTTAGAGATGTGAGTTTTGCTTACCCTACGAGACCGGAAGCAGTAAGTACTTATTACATTTTTTTTGTTGTAAGTCTGTTGGACAGAGCACGTTAGAGTGTACAATGAGTGGTGAGTACATGAAAAGATGCGAACTCTAAAAAAAACAGAATTATAATTTTTTTATTTAAAAAAACCGACCACAAAAATTTACTTATCCGCTTTCGCTGTGTTCGTTATCGCGCTCTCCTCAACAATAACTGAAACGCATGTGGAAATCCTCATCATCTGTCTGCTATTTCCATCATCAGATCAATTCTAGGCCACCATAACATTTTAGTTACATTGGAATTAGTGTACGTTCCAATGTAGTATAGATAGACAATATTTATAGTTTAATTGCAACATGTAATCCATATTGCTTGTTTTTTTTTATAACATAAAGTGACGGGACGAACAAGTCGTGAGCCTGTTGGTAAGCGACACGCCTGTCCATAACAGTTCAGTGCCACTCAGAGCTTTCAATTGCAACGATGTGAGGGGCACTACCCCTGTGCCCGTCACCCTGAGACATAAGTTGACATGTCCCATGTGCCTGCAATTTCACCAACACCTTTATCCTTCAGAAACCGGATCGCAGTAATGCTCACATTACTGCTTGGCGGCTGGAATACGTAAGGTGCGCCTGAAGTACGTAGGTCGTGCGGAGAGGCTCCTTTCGTGTACATCATGTGATGTGTAAATCATGTGGTGGAGATAGTTTACTTGATTAATCGTCGTATCGGACTATTTTATCTTAAATCTTTCGATCTTATCAGCTTTTAAGGGCGAATATTCGTCATGTCCACTTTTGTGTATAACTGCTTCCGTGGCTGAACGGTTACCATGCTTGGACTGCCACGGAGAGGTCCCGGGCAGAGAGAAATATTTGTATGGCCTAGATTTATTTCTCTCGTAAGTTTGAGTGTAGTAGCAGTAGAGCTCGTTGTGAAAGAGTTCGTCCAGGGAAGTACTGCCACCTTACCTATTTCTGCCGCCAAGCAGTAATGTCAGCATTAATGTGTTCCGGTTTTGAAGGGTGTTGGTCAAATTACAGGCACATGGGACTTGTCAACTTATATCTCAGGGTGACGGGCGCAGTGGTAGTGTCCCTCAGGTCTTTGCAATTTAAAACTCTGAATGGCACTGTAACTGTTATGGACAGGCGTGTAGCTTACCATCAGGCGCACAACTTGTTCGTCCCGTCACTTGATGTCATTAAAAAAATCTCTAGTGAGGGGCTATAAGTGTGTGTGTTGTTATTATTATGGTTATGTATTTTTAACCGACTTCAAAAAAGGAGGGAGGAGTTCTCAATTCGGCTGTATGTTTTTTTTATATGTATGGTACACGATAACGCATTTGTGAACTGATTTTGATGATTCTTTTTTTTTATTGGCAAGAGGGTACCTTAGAAATGGTCCCATTTCATTTTCAAGAAAACATTCTTCTCTAAGGGTGGCAAACTAGGGGATGAATGATTTTTGAAGGCGGTTTTTTTAGTACTCTGTACTGATATTACATATATTTCTTTTATTATGTTCACGTTAAAAAAGTACATTGTGACATGAATTACAATTTAGGAAATATACAAATAGAATGATACTAATTATAGTTAACCATATTTTTTACAAAATGAAAGTATAGTCCAAACAAGTGAATGAATTGTGTTTTTCTGTGTAGCGGGTGTGGTCATGCGAAATGTTTGCGTGGAGGGTTAACACCCTCCGTTTCCGTGCTTTAATTTTCTTTAATATTTTTTTACAGGTTGTACTAAAGAATTTTAATCTAAAAATACCTGCTGGCAAAACTGTGGCTATAGTCGGTACGTCTGGCAATGGTAAATCTACGATAGCTGCCTTGCTGGAAAGGTAAGTATCAACTTCTTGGGTTTTCGCGATTGCCACACATTGAAAACGAAACTATTTTTTCGGATTAAATCACATATTGTTTTCTTCAAACAAACCGATGTTACGGGTACCTCGTACAGGTCCCATGGTCACGGCTAACTGAGATGAAAAATCATCAATTTATGTATATCTATTAATGCAAACCACCATGTTCTGAGTAATATGAAAATAAATTCAAATTGGTGAATTAAAAAATAAGATAATTGATTTAATATTTTTTGTATATATATTTCAGAATAAGAATATATTGCTTTAGTATTAGATGTAACAGATTGATGACTTTACCATATCAGTTAGTCGCATTCAATATATAACCAGAAATAGAGACGAAATGTCATTAATTTGTGTGAAAACTATTCTGCCAAATCATTACGGTGACAACTGCGCTCCGATCGGTCAGCCCGAATTCGTAACAATTGACGAGTGTCGTCAATTGTTTCACTTCAAATGGACCACTTTAACTTGAGCTTTGCTATAATGGAGGATAATTGAAAAATTACATATTTTTTAGCGATAAAATCTGATTCCGTTTGTTTTGCTGTTTTTCCCACACAACCGAATGTAACAGACCTCCATAGTTAGAGATATTATTTTTATTACAATAAATACAGAATATCATATATAATGTACTATTTCAGCTTTCTAATTTGTAATTTCAGCACAAACGATATTGTTGTACGAGTTGATATTTAAAAGTGATATAAGGCCCATTTGCCTTATGAGTTACCAGCGATGGATGGCCCTTATTTCGTCTCTATTTCTGGTTATATACTCGATGGTTAGTCGTGACCATGGGAACCTCAAAGGGTCCAAACCGTTGGTTTGTTTGAAAAAACAAATATACTTGATTTAGATACGAAAAAATAGTTTTATTTCCAATTAGTATTTTTATTTTTTCTGTCGATTATTTGTGTCCAATAACTTGGACAGATGTGAGAGGGGTTATTTATTTCGACTGCCAATGTCCAGTTCGGATGAAGATTTAAAATTGTAGATGCAACTGCATCGACATTGACATATCGCACCCTTAGTAATATAAGGGCACAATCCAAAAAAAGTAGATTTTTGGGAAATTTGGGAATTGATAGGGACTTAAATAATAAATGGGATCAAACTTATATAGCTCCATATTTCTGTTATATTTTTTGTACTATATGGGTCTAACTTGAAAGTGTTTTTTTAACTTGCTTGAAACTTATGGAATTTATTTATATTATTTTTTTTATTGCTATTTATAATACATTTATCAAAGAACAAATCTGCCAAATTTCATATTTATAACTTAAATAATAAGCATGTTATTTGAAAAAATAGGTGTAATGTAGGAATCCAGAATCTTAATACGCGATTTCCCAAAAATCTACTTTTTTTGGATTGCGCCCTTATATTACTAAGGATGCGATATGTTCATAAATGCAGTTATCTGCTTACCCGCTGTAAGGGAGAGGTTCTAAACAGCAAACATGGTACGCTTTTGCAGCTGATGGCTGTTCAGTCCACCTATAATGAGCAGCAGAATCTCTGTGAATAATCAATGCCGTAATTGGAATATTTACCGATAGACAGTTTTTGTCTTAGCCCTTTAAATTGTTTAATAATCAGACACTGTAAAAAAACTAAAATGTAAATAATTTTAAATTAAATGTCGTTATTTGTAAATTAGTCAATGCTATAACAAAAACTACGAAATTGTCACTTGCCGACTTAACGTAACAAAAGATGGGTAAAGTCATTTTAGCCAGTGGTTCATTAGGACATTGTTATCGTAAATAAATCTTTTTCAGCGTTCTTTTAAATATATCCATAAGTGTGTTTACTTATTTTAAAAACAATAATATTCCAGATTCTACGACGTAAATGAAGGACAAGTGACGATAGATGGCATTGACGTGCGAGAGTTTGATCCGAAATGGCTGCGTGGGCGCGCGCTGGGCCTTATTAGCCAAGAGCCGGTACTGTTTGCTACGACTGTAAAGGAGAACATTCGATATGGCAAACCAGAGGCTAGTGATGATGAGGTGAGATTTGTTTTCAACTAATCCATGGTTGATAACGTGTCATATAGTTCTTTTTTCTAATTTAGATGGCGTTGCTAGCCTTTGATTTCGATAACACTCAAATTTCTGATAATTAATCTGTAATTATCTGATCTCAAATTAGGAATTTACCAGTACTATGAGCACCATTGTAATAAAAAACATACAACAAAAACAGGATGAACCTTTAACTCAAAATCTAATATTTTTGTTTTATTTCACATAGATTAAACTCTACTACTCATTCGTAAGACAGATTCCTTTGAGTCTGAGAGAGGAGTTAGTACAACACTCTAGGGGTTGCTCTTTGTAAATATAATGTTTGTACACGTTTATCATTTACAATATTTATTTCAAATGTAATATATAGGAGATCGTGATATATAAGAGCTAAATCGATTAACTACCATGAGTTTTTGTCATCCAAGCACGCAGAAGCAAAAACACTCTGACCTTAACTAATTTTGAATAGTTAGTTTTCAAATTGGTTGTATATATGGGATTCATCAAATTTATTCATACGGAATCGTCTTGAGTCGGTCAGAAAAATCTTTATGTCCATGCAATAAGAGCGAAAACGACGTTGCGCGTTTCGCTTCCGCTCGGATCGCCGATGCTAAAAGAATTTTATTATTTTTTTATTTTTATTATGTATAACACACATTTCAATAACATTCTCAAATACATACCTTATCGTAAATATCATAAGGACGCATTTATTCGACCCGAATTTCGTCACGTTCACCCCGCGCGGAGTCCGCGTTGCCGCCGCGCAGCTAACTTACTTTACGCAGTTAACTGTCATGGCAAAATACGCTCTATTTATTTAGCTTTTACCTTTTAATTTAAATGTACGTCTCGGGTACGCGGGCGAGGCTAGCTTGAATTTGGTCTACGGAGGAATTTAAATGTCGTTGCCTAGTAAATAGAATTCAGCTTCGCCATTAATGTACACGAAGGCGTGGTAACTGGACAGCGGCCGCGCCAAATCTTTCGCCTCGTGTAACTGGGCGCTAACTGGTTTGTAACTGATGTGTAAAAAGTTAATCTCTAACCAGATACAAAATTTCTACGTACTAAACAATTAAGCTACAGTAAAACAATAAGTGTGATTTTATTCGAAACAGTGAAACAAATTAATACATCGCAGCGTAACAAGCGTCGTACCGTGCAAGCCACACTCGCTAATACCGATCGGTCACCGTTATACCTCCCACGGGCCATTCCCATTGTGCCAATAATTGACAACTAATTAATTATGCTATGACTTCCCTTTGCATATATTTTTAAGAACAAATTTAATGTTTTTTTCCGTTACGTTATTTTTCATTTCGGTAGGGTAATTATGAGATAAGAGTTTTTATTTTTTATAATATCAAGTGACGGGGCGAACAAGTCGTGCGCCTGATGGTATGCTACACGCCTGTCCATAACAGTTGCAGTGCCACTCTGAGCTTTAAATTGCAAAGATCTGAGGGGCACTGCCACTGCGCCCGTCACCCTGAGACATAAGTTGACAAGTCCCATGTGCCTGTAATTTCAAACACCCTTACCCTTATTAACCGGAACACAGTAATGCTGACATTGCTTGGCGGCAGAAATAGGTAAGGTGGCAGTACTACCGTGGACGAACTCTTTCACAAGGAGCTCTACTGCTACTCAACTAACTAATCTAAAATACTGATATTATAATTATACATTACTGCATATTATTTATTTATTTTTTATTTCTACCGACCAGCTTAATGCGATTCCATGTTGATAAGTATGGTGACTTTCTACAAGTAGCAAAATACTTACCGCCACCATGGGTCAATATTTACTATATTATTTTGTTTTTCAGATAATAAACGCAGCGAAAACAGCGAACGCACACGATTTTATTCTCGGCTTTCCTAACGGCTACGATACTATGGTAGGAGAACGAGGCATGGCTCTCAGCGGGGGGCAGAAGCAGCGCATTGCCATCGCCAGAGCTGTTTTAAAAAATCCTCCTATTATTATATTGGATGAGGCGACTAGGTACTCCATTGTTTGTTGTGACAGACAATTTAAACTCACAACTAATGTATACAAGCGTTAAATAAATTTCTTTTATGTTTTTGTGATAGAACCAATTAGAAAATGATATAGATTTTTTTTAATAATACCAAATGACGGGACGAACTAGGGCGGTTGTACCAGGCGGTAGTAAGCGACACGCCTATCCATGACAGTTGCAGTGCCACTCAGAGCTTTAAATCGCAGAGATCTTCGGGGCACTGCCACTGCGCCCGTCACCCTGAGACATAAGTTGACAAGTCCCATGTGCCTTTAATTTTACCATCACCCTTACCCTTTTAAACCGGAACGCAGTGTAGCTCAAATTACTGCTTGGCGACAGAAATAGGCAAGGTGGCAGTACTTCCCTGGACGTACTCTTTCACAAAGAACCTGATAACCTAGAAATGAAAATCGTGTTACATGGTGTTATTATATACAAGGTTTTTTAAACTATTGTTGGTGATAAGTATTCTAATGTAGGCTATGACGAATAAACAACGATAGTTATATAATTTTTGTTGATGACGTTTAAAGGTTAAAAAGCCGCTAATTTTCGACGTGAGCGGCGAGATAGTATCTTTGAGATAGGGTCTAAAATTTATCTACTGCTATTTAGTTAATAACTAAATAATAGATTCAGCCGTCCATGTTAAAAAAATGGAAGTAATTTAATTTGTTACTTCGCGAACCCAGTGATGGTTAAATCGTGCAAAATGGCTGCGCTTGTGTTGAATATTTTTGATGCAGTTAATTATCCCACCCTTCCTCTGCATAAAACTAATAAAATAAATAACACAAGCGCAACTACAGTCACAAACCACGACCAAAAATATACCAAATATATTTATATTTTTATTTATTTTATGCGAAGGGAGGGTGGGATAATTAACTGCATGAAAAAATATTCAACACAAGCGCAGCTATTTTGCACGATTTAACCTTCATTGAGTTCGCGGGGTAGTAAATTAATTTACTTCCATTTTTATTCAGTTTTTAATTTATAGCGTCAGCTCAATAATGTTGGTTTTCGAATAGCGTCACTTTATTATTTAGATGCAGTTTGACCATGAATTGATTGATAAATGATTGACAACCTGGTGGTATTTTGCAAATTAATACTTAATTGCCTGATAAGAAGTGTTATAATTATATTTTTATTGCTAAAAGTCGTACCTACTTCCATTTTCAGTGCATTGGATTCAGCAAGTGAGAAAGTGGTCCAAACAGCGCTAGAGACAGCTGCAAAAGGACGCACGGTGCTAATAATAGCACACAGGCTATCGACTATCATGAATGCGGATTTAATCGTTGTACTCAATAGAGGGAATATTGTTGAGGTAATAAGTTTGAATATATTTAATTT